TTAATTTTAATTATATATATATATATATATATATATATATATATATATCGAAGTCAATGGTGCTCGAGCACCCGAACTCACTTACTGGGTCCGCCCCTGGATATTTACCTAATTTTCATAATTTATTGACTATAGTATAAAGATATTTACTTAATTTTCAAGATAGTTACTTCTTCTGTATTCATTTTTATTTGTCATTTTACGTTTTTCAAAAGTCAATTTGATTGATTTTCAAAGTTAAATTGAATTACATTAATTCGATATTATAAACAAAAAATTTAGATATTAAAAAATCATATAAAAAATATGATAGATTCCATTTTGACATATCAATTATGATAAAAAATATATAGTAAAATATTAGACAATTTTTTTTAGTTTAAATCATAAAAGAAGATTATAACAATTAAAAGTGAAACGGAGGTAGTAACATCTTGTGTGTAAGAGAATGTATGATTAACTACTTTTTTAATAATAAATAAAATAAATAAAAAGAAGAAAATGAGAAATTTCTTGGTATTTAATTATTGACAGATAAACAGTAAACACGGCAAAAAAAGGTTTTGCCTGATATCACAAAACAGGATATTTATCAGCTAGGTTTCTTTCTTTCTTTTACTTTTCGATATTTATATTAAAATTTTGATTAAATTTAAATTATATTTTGTATGATCTATTTAAAATTACTACTCTCAATAAGATTAAGATTCCTTTTACGTATAAGGCTCGGATATGATATTTCTGATTAAGGATACACAAGAATTTTATGGACTTAGAAATTATTTTATTTTATTTTATTAAAATAAATTTTTAAATTTCCTAATTTATTGTTTTGAACAAAGAACAGACCAACAAATAATAGACCATTCCCCACCTAAAGAAGAATATTCAATTAGGAGGAAAAAACATGGAAATTTCTATGTAGAAATTAATAATAGTCACTACTATATATGCCCAAGGAACAAATTAGTAATGAATTTGAACATTAATATAATAACCAGGGAAAAAAAAATCAAATTTGTCTATATTATCTGAAATTGCATAATTTTATTTTTCCGTTACATTTTTGATTTATTAATATCTTGTTATTTATAAATCGTCTCGTATTTATCTTTGCTATTAACAGAATTAATTCTACGATGAAAACGTTGATTACCACCTAGTCAAATTAG